TCAAAACGCGACTTGAGGGGCTCCAAAAGCCCATCGAGATGAGCTGGAGAACCTCCCCCACCATGACGTCAAGGTTCTCCAGAAGGTTCTCCAGAAGGTTCTCCAGAACCCAACCCCAAGACGCCAGCAGGACCTCCCCCACCATGACGTCACAGCCAACCAGAAGGTTCTCCAGAAGGTTCTCCAGAACCCAAACCCAAGAGGCCACCAGGACCTCCCCCACCATGACGTCATGGCCAACGGATGGTTCTCCAGAACCCAACCCCAAGAGGCCACCAGGACGTCTCCCACCATGACATCATGGCCAACAGAAGATTCTCCAGAACCCAAACCCAGGAGGCCACCAGAAACTCCCCCACCATGACATCATGGCCAACATGGAGATGGTTCTCCAGAAGTTGGTGAAAATAAAACCAAAAGGCCACCAGGACCTCTCCCACCATGACATCATGGCCAATAAAAGGTTCTCCAGAAGGTTCTCTAGAATCCAAACCCATGAGGCCACGCGAACCTTCCCTCACCATGATGTCATGGTCAACCACAAGGTTCTCCAGAAGGTTCTTCAGAATCCAAACCCATGAGGCCACGCGAACCTTCCCTCACCATGATGTCACGGTCAACCAGAACGTTCTCCACAAGGTTCTCCAGAACCCAACCCCAGGAGGCCACCAAGTCCTCACCGTTGATGAGGTAGGGGTGGTTGCAGCACTTGCGGAGCTCCATCATGGTGTTGAGAAGGTTGGGCATGTTGGTGTGACCGGCGCCTTTGGAGAGAAAGGAGAAGTTCTTCTCCAAGATGGCCCTGTAGTACTTCTTCTGGATGTTGGTCAACTCCACCTCGATGATGGTCTCCTGCTTCGGAGCCAAGTTCTTCTCCACGTCCTCCTTCAAGCGGCGGAGCATCATGGGTTTGAGGATGGCCTGGAGCTTCTGGACCTGGAGGTGGGACCACAGCAGAAGTCACCGTGGGTCCAGGAGGACCTTGGTGGCCACGGGAAAGGTTGGAGGTGACCTCCCATCTTCTCACCTGCTCCTCCGTCTTGAGGTCTCCAAAGTCCTTCAGGAATTCAGACTCAGAGGGGAACTGAGAAGGTTCCAGAAAATGGAGAAGACTGAAGAGCTCTTCCACCGTGTTCTGCAGCGGGGTGCCCGTCAGGAGGACCTTGTGTTCCTGAAGGACACGAGGGTGGAGAACGTCAGGGCTGGTGGTGGGAGGTGCCCAACCATCTCCAGATGCCACCAAGACCCCACAACCACCTTCATGACCATCGTCTGGACCATTCCATGAGCCCAACCACCTCCAGATGCCACCAAGACCCCACACCCACCTTCAGGACCACCTTCTGGACCATTCCATGAGCCCAACCATCTCTAGATGCCACCAAGACCCCACACGGCACCTTCAGGACCATCTTCTGGACCATTCCATGAGCCCAACCACCTCCAGATGCCACCAAGACCTCACACCCACCTTCATGACCACCTTCTGGACCATTTCATGAGCCCAACCACCTCCAGATGCCACCAAGACCCCACAGCCACCTTCAGGACCACCTTCTGGACCATTCCATGAGCCCAACCATCTCTAGATGCCACCAAGACCCCACACCCACCTTCATGACCATCGTCTGGACCATTCCATGAGCCCAACCACCTCCAGATGCCACCAAGACCCCACACCCACCTTCAGGACCACCTTCTGGACCATTCCATGAGCCCAACCACCTCCAGATGCCACCAAGACCTCACACCCACCTTCATGACCACCTTCTGGACCATTTCATGAGCCCAACCACCTCCAGATGCCACCAAGACCCCACAACCACCTTCAGGACCATCTTCTGGACCATTCCAGGAGCCCAACCACCTCCAGATGCCACCAAGACCTCATATCCACCTTCATGACCACTTTCTGGACCATTTCATGAGCCCAACCACCTCCAGATGCCACCAAGACCCCACAGCCACCTTCAGGACCATCTTCTGGACCATTCCATGAGCCCAACCATCTCCAGATGCCACCAAGACCCCAGGTCCTCACCAGGTCCATGTGCTTGAGGCTGTCGAGCAGCTTGCAGTTGCGGTTCTTCAGGCGGTGGGCCTCGTCGATGATGACACAGCGCCACTCGATCTCCCGGAGCTCCGGACAATCCGACAGGATCATCTCGAAGGTGGTGATGAGGGCGTCAAACTTGTAGGCACCTGGGATGAGACGGCCCTGGGGGGTGGAGAAGAAAAGGTAGGGGAGATGCCTTCAAGCTCCAGCTCGAAGGTTCTTCTGGAGGCTTTTGAAGGCCAGAAGATCCGAAACACCAACCAACCACATTGGGTGGAGATAAAAGGTAGGGAGATGCCTTCAACCACCAGCTCGGAGGTTCTTCTGGAAGGTTTTGGAGGTTTCTCCAGAGACTTTTGAAGGCCAGGAGGTCCAAAACCCCAACCAACCACATTGGGCGGAGGTAAAAGGTAGGGAGATGCCTTCAACCTCCAGCTCGGAGGTTCTTCTGGAGAGTTTTGGAGGTTCCTCCAGAGAGTTTTGAAGGCCAGAAGGTCCAAAAAAACCAACTGATCATGTTTGGTGGGCATAAAAGGTACGGAGATGCCTTCAATCTTCAGCTCGGTTGGTTTTGGAACCTCCAAGACCTTCCAGAAGATCTTGATGGCCAGAAGATCCAAAACCAACCAAGCTTGTTGGGTGGATATAAAAGAACCTCCATCTTGGAGGTTCTTCTGGAAGCTCTTGGAGGTTCTTCCAGAGATTTTGAAGACCAGAAGGTCCCACCCCGACCTACCCTGGTGTCCTTGCAGTACATCTCGTACTGCTGGATCATCTGGCGGGACGCCAAGCTGCCGTGGTAGACGATGCTGTTCATCTCCGTCCAGGTGGTGAACTCCCGCTCCCAGTTGGTGATGGTGGACAACGGGGCGATGACCAGGAACGGGCCGCGGATGCCCACGTTGTAGACCTCTTGGAGAAAGGCGATGGACTGGATGGTCTTGCCCAAGCCCATCTCGTCGGCCAAGATGCAGTTCTGCCTGCGGAGGAGGAGGAGGAGGAGAAAAGAGGTCACCTGGTTGGTGGGGATGTCCTCCACGTGTTTTTGGAGGGCCACCACGTGGTTCTGGAGGGCCACCACATAGTTTTGGAGGACCAAAACGCCATTTTGGGGGACCAACACGTGTTTTTGGAGGACCACCACGTGGTTTTGGGGGGCCACCACGTGGTTTTGGAGGCCCACCACGTCGTTTTGGGGGGCCGCCACATGTTTTGGAGGGCCACCACGTCGTTTTGGGGGGCCACCACGTGTTTTGGAGAGCCCCCACGTGG